AGAGTTTTTGTGGAGGGGTAGGAGCAGCTGGTGTTGTGTCTCTACAGCACATCGCTTGGTTCCACAGTAAAAGGTTGCTACCGGGGGGGCTTGGAAACAAAGCGGCGCCTGTTCTCCCCTCCCCAGCCGCCCTGCTCTGGGACAGGCCTCCAGCCAGCTGCACTCACGCTCTCCCCAGCTGCTACTTCACTTTTGCATTACAAAAACTTCCAGCAAAGCCCTGTCCTTGGCACAGCAAAAACCCCGCACGCACTGCTGCGACAAAAGACAACAGCCTCAGGGGGCTCCACCAGCCCAGGGGTGCACCCAGAGCCTCCCCGCTGGGCCTCCACAGCCAGCCACCACCACCACACAGGCACTTCCGTGGGTTTGAAAACATTTTCCATTAAAATAAATATCTGTAAGCTGGTACCTGAGCAGCAGCTGGTGAGACAGCCGCCCCTGGACAGACGCCAGCAGTAACATGGCCAAGGTGTCAGTGCTGTGCTCACTGCACACAGGCTGAGGACAGCATCAGGGCAGCTGAGGCAGAGCCTGCAGCAGCCATGCTGGACACTTACTCCATCTCCACCTCCTCCAGGGGCAGGGTGCTCTCACTCCTTACCCAGGGCACGGGCTCCGGGACGTGGGGGTCATAAGTCCACTTAGGGAAAACGCGCTTGTAGAGGTTCAGTAGCACCGTGTCCTGGGACTTCAGCTGTCCATCAAAGTGGCACTTCATGTGACCGTGGGTGCCTAGGCAAAGAGCAGAGAAGGCCAGTCACTGTCTCTCCTGCCGGGGAGGATCACATCCTGCCCAGCACTGCAGAGATAAACACCAAATCTAACTTACCTAATGGCTCCTTGATGTGTCCTCTACGACCCCACTTTGTCCTCAGCTCCACTGGCTTAAACCACATCACATCCTCTGGAGATCGAGACATGAAAGGAAGGTAAGAAGATGACTTCACTGCATGAACACATTCAGTTTTGGGCCACTCACTCCAAGAAGGATGTTGAGGGGCTGGAGTGTGGCCAGAAAGGGCAACAAAGCTGGGGAAGGGTCTAGAGCACAAGTCTGGTGAGGAATGGCTGAGGGACCTGGGGTTGTTGAGCCTGCTGGGGGTGCTGAGCCTGGAGCAAAGGACACGCAGGGGAGACCTTCTCAGTTGCAATAGCTCCCTGGAAGGAAGCTGGAGCCAGGTGGGGGTCAGGCTCTTCTCACAAGTGATAGGACAAGAGGAAATTGCCTCAAGCTGCACTGGGAAGGTTTAGGTTGGGCATTGGGAAAATTGTCTTCCCCAAAAGGGTTGTCCAGGCCTGTCCCAGGCTGCCCAGGGCAGTGGTGGAGTCCCCATCCCTGGAGGGGTTTCCAAGCCATGGAGATGTGGTGCTGAGGGACATGGGTTAGTGGTGACCTGGCTGTGCTGGGGCAATGGTTGGACTCCATGACCTTAAAAGGTCTCTTCCAACCAAAATGATTCTATGTTCTATAACACAACTTCCCTCACAGGGGCAGGATTTCTGCTTCGCATCCCCTCCTCCCAGCACGGAGCTGAGCTGTACCTCTGCTGAAGAACATGTATCGCACCACGGCCGTCTTGGTGAAGATCTTGAAAGGGTGGCCACTCAGCACCAGCCGCTTGACGACGATTCTGTCGGGGTCCACGGAAAGCAGAGAGCCCGTGGCAATGAGGT